AAAAAAAAAAAAAAAAAGTACAAAGAAAGAAAAAGAAATACAATATTCCCCCTCTGCCTGACTGATTTCTGTGTGTTGAATCGAGAAAACGTGCTCGTGAAACCTCACAATTTTATTCTCAGAACGTGGATCAGTCAGGAAACTAAATCTATTTATCACAGTTTCGATAATATCTTATCTAGAGGCAGTCTGACGGAAGCTTGTATCTCCGAAGGCTTCGAAGTAGTCATGCTTCTCCACTTCTCTCGTGCTCGGATGTCTGATCTTCTTCCTCGATACTCGGGAAGTCTCGTTCGTGTCACCATGAACGAACGGCAGAATCGGTCCAAGCAGAGTCTCGATGTTTTCATGGGTCGTGGAACGTTGATGCCAAGGTCTCGAGCGTTGTGTCGTCGTGGTCTATGAGGTAGATGGAAAAGTTGGTGGACATCCGTGTGATGCGATTTCTCTCACGCGGTCTGCATCTCGGGCGTTTGGTGCTGCGAGAAGGCTCGCTCCTTGTAGCACAGGTCACTGTCGGCCATGCTCAGCGTCGTCCAGTAGAAGTCACCGGCGTGTGTGTGCGCGAAATGAACGGGCACGTAGCACTGACCGGGCACGACCGGCACCACCGTCATCTGACCGTCGAGGCAGACGGTGATGGCAGCTCCTTCCTCCGCGTCCTGGAGCTCCGCCAGCAGCCTCCTCTCCAACGCCTCGTTCGCGTTGTTCTGATTGTCCACCTCCTCGGTGAAGATCTCCGCCTGCGGCACGGCCTTCTGGCCCTTGGCATGCTGTTTCCCTCGGTTGGTCCTCTTCTTCAGCAGCCTGAGTATCGGCTTCAGAACGCGGCGTACCCGTTTGCTGCCGGCCGCGCTCCTCCCCGACATCTTCAGGTTGTACAGATTGTCGTTCAGCTCGTTCTCGTAGTCGAACACGTGGCTCATCGTGGTGGCGGCCATGTTCCCCGCACTGAACCGGTTTTAAAGATGAGCGACCGTGTGTGCACTCTCGGTACCTCGGAACTTCGAACACGACGAAGCGTGTTCTTCGACAGATAAGAGATCAAAGATGGATATTATGGTATATATATATATATATATATATATATACACACACACGTGTGCTTCGTGCGTGTGCGTGTTGCGTGTGTGTACGTGGTTGGTTGCGAGTCGCTTTGGAACGAAACGCTAGTGAGCGAATGATGCTTCAGACGAGCAACCCCGGACTTTATATAGGCCCGGCCGAGCAGCACGGGGTGCCAGAGTGGGGAGGGCAGGTGCACTCTGGCTGTGGGAACTCGGAGAATTCGGTGCTTCCCACGTCAGGGTCCACCGCCGACCATCTGCCGTTTCTTCTCCCTCCTCTGACACCCCTCCGACGCTAATCCAACCAACGCTACCACCCCGACCTGTGTGTGCCCCTTCTTGCCTCTTCTTCACCCACCCCCGCTAGACCTTGGTCTCCTAGGTGGATCCTTCCCTTCCGAAAGCGCGTTTGCTCTCCGGTTTCCAGCCCGAACGAGAGAGGGATAGAAAAAGTGTGCAGAGGCTGGCCAGGTTCTTCTCTAGGCCCATTTTGCCTAGCCATCGTTGAGAAGGGTGCATGATGGTTCTCGCTGGTTTTTCGGGGGAGGACAAGTTCGAACCTGTCTGCGACAGGTTTCCCCCGAACAAGAGTGAGTAAATACGTGAGCATGATGCTCTGAATTCTACCACGTGGTCCCCTATTTCGTTCTCTCCGATCCGATTGATGGAAACGATCTCGATGATCGTTCGACCACATACCGAGTTTTAGGCATCTTTCGGAATTTTAATTGATGAATCGAAGGTTTGATGGATTCTTGGCGGTGGTTGTACGGGCGTTCCCCGATCCCAAGGATAGCGTGTACTCTCGACTTGCAAAGTTCGTATTGACGATAATGATTTCGATGATTGTTTATCCGTCGCATCGTCTCTTAAGCGGGAACTTTCGCTGGAATTTTAATCAATGCGAAATTTATATACTTAAATTGGTAATTTAGGGTAAATGTATAAATTATTTATATATATTTGTGACTTGCAAGATTCTTCGTGTTCAACGATTTCGATGATTGTTTATCCCCTGTACCTTTCTCTAAGCGAGCATTTTTCCTGGAATTTAAAAAAAAACTGATACAAAATATATATATGCTTGAATTGTTTACTTCGGGGTAAATGAAGAAATTATTTGATTTAGGGATGAAAGTGCATATATTTCTGGCTCGTGAGATTCTCGACGCTGCTATTAATTTCGTTGATGATGGCGTGTAAATTTTCTTACAACTACTCTGAACGTTGTCGACGAAATTAACGACGTAGACGACATGCTCTTTTTTTAACACCATAAAAATGGGGTACGCGTGCATCAAGTTGCTCGTTCCTGTTTTTTAAGAGCCGTGTCATAATTAAAATTACCTCGATGATTTCAGCGTCAGAACTTTCTTCTTCTGCTTCGTGTAATACGACGTCCCGAGATACGAAATCGAGTGCGTACGTCATGAATTCCTCTGTCAAGTTATTACCTCGTTGTTACTTCATCGCTTTCAACGTCTCATTTTATCAAGCCGTTGTCTCGTTGGAAGTACCTGATGGTTCTCGATGCGCAAGTATAATTCGTACCGTGTATTCCCGGCACTTCCGGTAGAAATCTTCGATTACTATTTCCTCAAAAATATCTCATTATCAGGTGATTTCTCTTTTGTATATTTCATTTATCAATTCATCCCGTGCAGTATTATATAATTCATCAAACGGTGGACATTGACCATCCGCGTTTATTATAAGTTTTCGACATAACTGAAATAATCATAAATCAAAGCATGATCATAAATAAATTCTTAAATTGTGAACGAAGCATTCGCAGGAAATCGAGTATCATCGCGTAGAGCGTCTTCATCTAAAACAATTCTCAAAATATACATTGAAATTCGTTATTGTGGAATTTCTTTTCTCGCAGCTCGAGAAATTTCGCTGGATAAAATCCAAGTATCTCCCTAGCTGTTATCAATTTACACGGGAAATTTTTTTTACGCGTGAAAGAATGCGAAAGTGATGAAATTAATTCGTCCAATTAGAGAGTTGGTCGCTCGGCGATCTCTATATCAACAGATTGATTCAAACTCGGGTCCGTAAGTTGCAGTAATTAATGCGCGGCATTAATGTTGGCCAGCTTCCTCCATTACCCCCGGTGTGCTCGAGAGATTTAGGATCTAGACAAAGATAGGCACGGCACCCCTCAGAGTTGTTAACTACTCTTCGAGATTTGCTTCTTTTCCCCCTCGAGGAGACGAAGGTCGGTGCCTGCATCCCTGCAGGGAATTATACACCCTCGTATATGTATATATATACACACTGGAAGAAAAAAGTACGTTTCTTTTCGTTTCTTTTTTCTCTCTCTTTTTTTTTCGTAGTTAGTTTGTTGCCCCCCCTCTGGATCTGTTGAATTAACAAGTTCTTTTTTCTTGGAGGGGAGAAACTTCTTTCGGAACTACCTGTTCGTCTGTGTTTCGCCAACCTGTTGATGGCGGAGATTTTTTTCTTTTTTTTTGTTCTGAGGAAGCTTTTTTGAGATTTTTTTTTTTCAATCATTTGTTTCTTCCTTCTATGATTTTGGTAATATTTTTTAAGTTGCGGGATTGTTCGATTTTTGTAATTCTAAATCAGGTCTTTAATCCTTCTTTTTTCTTTGAATATTCTAATTATAAAGGTACTTGTAGATATTCATAGAATTATTTCTACAAACAACCTCCAATATGAATGCTTGGAACAAATTAATATAGATATTTAAAATAATGTAGCATCAGAAAAAGGAAGTCTAATATGAAAACCAAGAATATTGAAAGATTCGTTGGATATTTTGTAAAAATAGTACAGTCAGAAACACGTAGTATGCTGAAAAAATATTGCAATATAATTCAACGCAGAATTATTTGCAACAAACGAGCAATTTAATAGAAATGCTTGAAAAACGAATTAACATAAATGCTTCAAATATTCCAACGCCTAGAAACCAAGAATATTAAAGCATTCGTTTTTAGAAAAATCTAGCAAGAACACAGAACCGTGTATGATGGCCACTTTTCGAAGGGACGTGTCGAGGTAGAACGAGACGAGGGTTCCCGAAGGTCGTGGCAAATCCCGTAGAGCCCACCACGATGAACCCGGCTTCGTGGGGTACCGTCTGTAACCCCCGTCGAGGACAGGTACATCGGGGAGGTATTTGTTTTCACTTGGCGCTTTCGAGCTGCATTCCGAGGCAGGTGAAGCGAGCGTACTCTCGTCAAACAGGGGAAGAACGCCGCGTACCTGCGGCAGGAAATGATTTTACTTTCATGAAGACGACTCTTCTGTACTTTTACTCTTCTCGAGTTGTA